AGTCATTAGAGAAGCAACTACCAAAAATTCCACAATTCATTGATGATGATATAGACGACTTTCCAGTTAGAGGTACAAAACTCATATATGAAATTTATGAAAAGAGTAATGTAGCTGTCCTAGAACCTTATGATTTTAAAGAAGTTGAAATGGATGATAAGTAGATAGAAGCAATGAGGGAAGAGATAAAGATGATCGAAAAGAATGACACTTGGGAGCTAGCGGATAGACCTCAACACAAGCAACCTATAGGAGTCAAATGGGTTTATAGAACTAAGCTAAACACAGATGGTTCTATAAATAAATACAAGGCTAGGTTGGTCGTGAAGGGATATGCTCAAGTGTTCGGAGTGGATTTTTTAGAAACGGTTGCTCTGGTTACACGCCTCGATACAATCAGAATGCTGCTTGCTTTGACTGCGCAAAAGGATGGAAAGTTTACCATTTAGATGTGAAGTCTTCCTTCCTAAATGGTTATTTACAGGAGGAAATATTTATGGAGCAACCAGAGGGATTTCAAGTCAAGGGTTAGGAGGAGAAGGTCTACAAACTAAAAATGGCCTTGTATGGTCTTAAACAAGCCCCTAAGGACTGGTACAACAGAATTGATGATTATCTTCAAAACCTTGGGTTTATTAAAAGTCCAAGTGAAGCTACATTGTATGTGAAACTGATGGATACTAACTTAATTATAGTTTCTGTCTATGTTGATGACCTACTTGTAATAAGGAATGAAGAAAAGTTAATAATGGAGTTTAAAGCTGAAATGTTGTGAGTGTTTGAAATGACAGACCTTGGCCTAATGTCTTTCTTTTTGGGTATGGAGGTAAAGCAAGATCATGGTGGAGTCTTCATATGCCAAAAAATGTATGCAAGGGAAATACTAAAAAAACTTCGCATGGAGGATTCCAAAAGCACTATTACTCCAATGAACCAAAAGGAACAATTTAGCAAAGATGACGGGGCTGATAAGGTAGAGGAGCATCAGTTCAGAAGCTTAATTGGTTGTCTTATGTATCTTACTACAACTAGGCCCGACATCATGTTTGTAGTAAGTATGCTTTCAAGATTTATGCATTGTGCTAGTGAAGTGCATCTTCAAGCTGCCAAACAGATTGTGAGATATGTTAAGGGGACTGTAGACTATGGTGTCAAGTACACTCACTCTTAGAATTTTCAGCTTCATGGTTATTCTGATAGTGATTGGGGTGGTTCAATTGATGACATGAAAAGTACAACAAGTTACTATTTCAGTTTTGGTTCATGTATGTTTTCTTAGAGTTCAAAAAATAAGACATAGTGGCTCAAAGCACAACTGCGGCAGAATATGTGGCAGCCACTATAGTTGTGAATCAAGCTATTTGGCTAAGGCGTATGCTTGCTGATTTACATATGGAACAAAAGGAGCCTACACAGATTCTTATTGATAATCAAGCAGCTATTTTCATTTCAAATAATCCCGTTTTTCAAGGTAGGACTAAGCATTTCAAGATCAAGTTGTTTTTCTTAAGGGAAACACAAAGAGAAGGTGAAGTCAAACTAATTTACTGCAGAATTGAAGATCAAGGTGCAAATTTCTTAACAAAAGCTCTTCCAAAATCCAGATTTGAAGCTTTAAGAAATAAACTATGTGTTTGCAAGTATTGAGGCAAGGAGGAGATTTGTTGAAAGTGTGCCTACAATAGCTACCTACGTGGATGTTTTAGCCAATTTAAGATTAAAATTTTTTGTTGCTTAGAATCCATTTTTTAGGAGTTTTGATTCTATTTTCATCAGTTCAGAAACTATTTTTTTCATGCCTAAAAATAAGGGATATTTTGTTTTGTATTTTTGACTCTAGCTCTATTTAAAGAGCAAATTAATAACAACTATTACATCCTTCGTAAAATATATCTACTCTTCTCTTTTTTTAAATATGTTTTCAACAATTTTACATAGATAAACCACATGTTGAGCAAAAATTTACAAATATCGGATATATAATCATAATGACAATAATAATGATAATAAGTTGGTCACAGAAAATGAAGATAAAGTAGATCAAGCAGGTTCTATGGATTTGAATTTTGATGTTATCTCTGGTGAAAATGAAAATCATTTGTGACATATTTCTGATAATCATCATAGAAAAGGTGTTTCAATGGAGGAAAAGGTATGTTATTCAGAGAACTGAATGGAAGAAGATAACGTGAAACTTGGTGTTGAGGGAAACCTACCAAACTCGTTTTCTGTTTTAAGGACAGATTTTTCATCACCATGTTTAAGGGATGCTCGCAATTATTATACATTTGATGGTGGAAAAATTAAGCTGGATCTGCAAACATATTCAGATTCAAGAATGTTGCACAACAATCTAATTAAAAGGGAAGTCATAAAAACCATAAATACTAGTATGTTTTTGACATAGGAATGTTGCTTAGTGTGAGACCCAAATCCTTCTACTCTTTCTTTATTTTCCCATTTTCTTCTTTTCTTCCATCAGGTGGTTACCTTCACTCGTTAGGCTCGAAAGCCATTTCACTCTAGATGTTTCTTTGTTGCTAAACTCATCCTCTCACTTTGATTCACCAAGGTATTGAGCAATAGGGGAAGTTGAGGACTTTAAGCACCAGAGTCGCACGAATTCTCCTTCTCCATTTTTCTCATCCGTTCTTCTCTTCTTCTTCTTCTTTGTAGAGCTTGGGATTAAGGTAAGGGAAGCTAGAATATTGAGTTGTTGTTTGAATTGAAACATAATACTAACTGAATTCTTGGAAATTTTGAGTTTTGGTGGAGGATTTAAGGTTGGTTGCATGTTGAAAGCTGACACCTTGTGGTTGTTCTTGATGCATGCATGTTGTGATTCTTGATGTTTTTGGGTTGCATGTGGTTCGCAGTGTTGCATTTGAGTTGTAGCATGGATTGGGTCTCCTTGGATTGCAGGTTCATGGAAGATTTGAGTGAAAACAAAGGTGAAATCCATGGAGTTTTAGAAATTTTGAGACCCACAGCCATAGCCGTAGATTCACAGCTATAGCCGTGGAGGAAAAATGAACTTATAGAAACCAACAACTATAGCCGTGGATTCACAGCTATAGCCGTAGAGGAAAAAATGAACTTGTACAACTCACAGCCATAGCCGTGGGAGGGAAAAACGTGATGGAAGAGACTTTCAACCATGGCTCTGGGGGGCAAAAAGTGGAGTGGCAAAAACTTGTAGCCATAGTCGTGGATTCACAGCCATGGCCGTGGAAAGGAAACTGAGCTGGCAGAAATCCAGAGCTAAAATGCTGAATTGAGCGCTGCCGCGGTGAGTGTTGATGATAGACTTTGGTCTTAAAGCCTTTATGAAAGTTGTAGACTTGGATGTTAGCTTTCCAATGGCTTTGGAATCACCCAAAAAGAAGGTCTAGAGCTTCAGTTATGACCTTTTTAGTGAGCAAAGGTCAAGTTGTTAGCATTTAGGAGAATGGTTACGGTTTTTACAATTTTTAACAAGGTAGATGATGGAATTAGGACTGGGTGTCTACATGAGAGTTGGAAATCTTCTTATCTTTCATATGATATAAGGATGAGAATGATTGGAGTAGTAGAACTTCCTATGAGTTGTTTTAGGTGATGGTTGTCAGTGTAGAAATATGTGATTTTGATAAATAGCATGTGATACATGTTGTATGATGGGTATACTTGGTGAACATGAATAGAATTTTTGTGTCTATTGCATGTTGTGTGTTACAGGATGATGATGGTGAGAATTGATATGTTTTATATGATTGATATGCTATTATTGTATGAATTGTGAAGCATTGGTATGTTGTTCTTGGTTGAGATGTTAAGCATTGGTATTTTGTACATGATCGATGTGGTTGATCTCTATATGCATTGATTGGATGTAATGTATATAGTAGATGTATGGTAAGGTGTGGGTGCTAAGAATCTTGTGTGGTTGAGTAAGGTACGTGGTCGAGGGCTACAACCCTTAACCAAGTACTTGGAAAGGTTGAGTAGTTCCTTGAAGATAATTAATGGGCGAATTCCATATGTGACTTGGTAATGCATGCCAAAGTCGTGGTAAGCCTATACCTAACTGTACTACTCCTGACGGTGGAACCAAACTTTCGTAGTGTAAGTGATGAGACCCGAGAAACCAGAGGAAGGATTGGTATCCCATTTTGTTGTGATCGAGCCGGTTCTTTGGGCGTGAAAATGATTGGGTTGGTTCGGTAGGGTAGAAATCACTTAGACTACTCATGTTGTTAGAAGATCTCCGTAGGTGAATTTGTGACAACATATTAGTCAATGTGTTTGCATATGATGTATGTTGAGATGTTTTCATGTGCATCTAATGTCTTTTGGGACATGATTGAGTGAGATACATGCTTGGTTGTGATGTGATTAGTTTTATACAGGATATCTGGTGTGTTGTTGTATATGATAGACTTATTTCTATATGTAGATATATTTTTAAACTCTAGCTTACCCTTTCTGTTTCCATGGTGGTTGGACTGCAATGATCATACATTGTATGGGAGTAGATCAGGGCTAGGCTTTAGGAGCTAATGCGGACAAGGATTGTGATTTTTTTTATAGCGGTACTACTGATATACCTTGTATAGGTGTGCTTGACAGGCACTAGGATGTAGGATTATTTTGGGATGACTATATATATATATATATATCAGGTTTATATTGGTTTGATTTCTTCTTATATACTCATGATACTTATATGTATGGTATATTCTCTTTTATTAATCTTTCACATTCTAGTAACTTAGCTTCAGTTGCTAGTGTAAGTGATTGCATAGAGTGTGTTGACTATGAAGGGTCATTTTCACTTTTATGGTATTAGATCCAATCGAGTTTGTTGGGCACCTTGTGGGGGTGATCTCATTAGGTTTCTGTTGTGTGATCTCTGTGATATGTGGGGTAGTAGTTGTGTATGGTGATGGTATAATATTTCTAAATGGTTTTTGATTTCTTGTAGAATGGTTAGACCATAGTATGATCAGATTGCTAGGGCCATGGAGATGATGGCAATGGCAATGCAACAACAAAGTGCTCACTTTGCTCAGATGGAGGCAAGTAGAGCTGCAACTGAGGCAGCTAGACCTGTTATGTCACAAGAAGGGAGGGACTTGGTAGAGTTTAAAAAGTGTCACCCTCCCCAATTCAAAGGGGATTCAGATCCAGATGTGGCTGACCATTGGTTGAGTGGAATGTAGAAGATCTTTGGGGTTCTTGGGTCTACTGATGAGCGAAAATTTGCTTATGTAGTGTACATGCTAGTAAGAGAGGTTGAGTATTGGTGGAGAGGCACCAGGCAGATGTTGGAAAGTAGAGGTGTAGTAGTTGACTGGGAATGCTTCAGGAGAGTATTTTTGGAGAAGTACTTTCCGGATAGCATTAGATATGCTAAGGAGATGGAATTTATGCGACTATACCAAGGGAATATGACTATTTCTGAGTATGCAATGAAGTTTGAGCATCTGGCTCGTTTCTACTCTCAAGCCATATCTGAGGCTTGGAGATGTAGAAAGTTTGTAGAGGGGTTAAGGCATGAGTTGAAGAGAGTTATTATACCTATGTCTATAGTAGGGTTTCTGGCCCTGGTTGAGAAGGCGAAGAAAATTGAGAGATTGGAAGGTGATGGTGGAGGCAAGGCTATCAGGAATCAAGAGGGATCATCAGGATTCAAGAGGGGAGGTTAGTAGAGGAGGCCCTATGATAGAACCGCTCAGCATCAGAGAGGTGTTGTAACTAGGGGACCTCAGTCTACTACTCCTCAAGGAGGTACTCAGGCATTGAGATGCTTTAGGTGCGACGTAGCTCACCTTGTTCATGATTGTTCTCATCCGGGAAATGTGTGTTATAGGTGTGGCAAGTCAGGCCACATTTCCAAAGATTGTTAGGTGAGGCCTGTTCAGGCAGGGAATGCTCCTAGGCCAGCTAGGCCTATAGCTGCAGGGAGGGTTTTTTCCATAACTGGTGCAGAGGCTTCCACTTCATCAGATTTAGGTGAAAAGGAAGGGCAAAGCTATTGGTCAGGATGTTGTATTTCTATTTGATTCCGGAGCTACGCATTCATTTATATCTATTGATTGTGTCGGGAAGTTGGGGTTATCTATATTTACTTTGCATGTTGATTTGCGTGTTTCCACTCTGGTTACTATTTCTGTGGTGACGTCAGAGATGCGTGTGAGATGCCTCATTGAGGTGTCTGGTAGGAAGTTCAGGGTGAACTTGATTTGTTTACCCATGGTGGATATTGACATAATCTTAAGGATGGATTGGTTTTCTGCCAATCATATCCTTATAGATTGTGCCAATAAGAAGTTGGTATTTCTTCAAGTGGAGGATGAGGTGTTGGTGTCAACTAATCAAGCTGAAAACTTGTTAAGGGATGGAGCAGAGTGTTTTGCCCTATTTGCTACTATGAGTGTAGAAACTGAAAAAGTGATCAATGGGATTGAAGTTGTGAAGGATTTCCTAGAGGTGTTTTGCAGATGAGGTGCCTAGATTACCTCCTACTAGGGAGATTAAGTTTAGCATTGATTTGGTTCCAAGAGTAGGGCCAGTGTTAGTAGGGATGGCAAATATACCCGTACCCGCGGGTAATATACCCAAACCCGTCCCGACTTTGACGGAGAATACCCGGTTTGACCGGGTACGAGTACGGGTAAAACCCGATTTATTAAATTGGGTACGGGTACGGGTATGTACTTACCTGCCCCGTACCTGTACCCGTCCCCGTTCTCATTTTTAATTTAATACTCACTTTCAATTTAATTATATTAAAAAAATTTAATATTTTTTTATGTGTGATTATTTATTATAATATGAGATAAAGAAATAACCTAATTATAATTATAATATAATAAAAAAATAATTTAAAAATATCATTTTTTTTACAAAAAATAAAAAATAAAAAAATTGACGGGTACGGGTACGGGTATAGGTATACCCGATACCCAATGGGGATGGGGATGGGGATGAAAATATATACCCGACGTGTATGGGGACGGGGACGGGGATGGGTTTAACTCGCGGGGACGGGGATGGGTATCATGAAACCCGTACCCGACCCGCCCCGTTGCCATCCCTAAGTGTTAGTAACTCCCTATAGGATGGCTCCAACTGAGTTAGTTGAGTTGAAAAGACAAGTAGAGGAGTTGCTAGAGAAGCAGATGGTGAGGCCAAGTGTGTCTCCGTGGGGTACTCTTGTGTTGTTAGTAAAGAAGAAAGATGGAGGGAGTCGATTGTGTGTAGATTATAGACAGTTGAACAAGCTGACCATTAAGAACAAATATCCTCTTCCTAGGATACATGACTTAATGGATCAACTTAAAGGAGCATCGGTGTTCTCTAAGATCGATTTAAGGTCAAGTTATCACCAGATTAGGGTGAGGGAGAGTGATATACCTAAGATTGCATTCAGGACTAGGTATGGTCACTATGAATATGTTGTGATGCCATTTGGGGTGACCAATGTCCTAGTAGTGTTCATGGATTACATGAACAGAATCTTCTGACCATTTTTTGATATATTTGTGGTGGTATTTATTGATGACATCCTTATTTATTCCAAAAATCTGGAGGAACATGGAGAACACTTGAGATTGGTGTTGGAAATTTGAAGGAGAAACAGTTGTATGCGAAGTTGTCAAATGTGAATTTTGGTTGAAGGAAGTGAAGTTCTTGGGGCATGTTATTTCAGCATAAGGAATTGTAGTTGATTCGGCTAAAATGGAGTCGATATTACAATGGGAACGCCCATGGACTATTATAGATATTAGAAGCTTTGTGGGTTTAACGGGTTACTATAGGAGATTCATTGAGGGATTCTCCAAGATAGTAATGCCCTTGACCCAGTTGACTAGAAAGGATCAGCCTTTCATTTGGATGGATGCATGTGAACAAAGTTTTGAAGAGTTGAATAGGAGGTTGACTACTTCTCTTGTGTTAGTGTTACCTGATTCTAGTGAGTTATTTGAAGTGTATTGTGATGCTTCTCACCAGGGATTAGGGTGTGTGTTGGTGTAGAATAGGAGGGTAGTTGCATATGCTTCAAGGTAATTGAAGAATCATGAGAGGAATTACCCTACTCATGACTTAGAGTTTGCAACTGTTGTTTTTGCCTTGAAGATATGGAGGCACTATTTGTATGGTGCTAAATTCAACGTCTTCAGTGACCACAAGAGTTTGAAATATTTGTTTGATCAGAAAGAGTTGAACATGAGACAGAGACGGTGGATAGAATTTATGAAGGATTATGATTTTCAGTTGATGTATCACCTAAGGAAGGCCAATATAGTGCCCTTAGTAGGAAAACCATCCACATGTCTGCCATAATGGTGAAGGAATTAGAGTTGGTAGAGAAATTTATAGATATGAATCTGTGTGTGGAATTGGCTGAAGATCACATTAGTTGTGGGATGACCACCATAACTAGTGAGTTCTTGAAGCAAGTTGGGTTGAAACAGTTGCAAGATCCTGAGTTGGTGAAGACTTTTGGGTTATTAGGCATAAAAAAGAAGTTGGTTTTGAGTTGGGTGGAGATGGAATTTTGAGGTTTAAAGGAAGAATTTGTCTACCTCAAGATTCTGAGTTGAGGAAGGTTGTGTTGGAAGAAGGCCACAAGAGTAAGTTTAGCATACATCCTGGTATGGCTAAGATGTACCATGATCTCAAGAAGATTATCTGGTGGTCTGGTATGAAGAGAGACATTGCAGAGTATGTGGCGGCCTGTCTGACTTGTCAGAAGGCAAAGGTTGAGCACCAGAAGCCTAGTGGTTTATTGTAGATGATGGAAATTCCCGAGTGAAAGTGGGATAGTGTCACGATGGATTTCGTTGTTGGGTTGCCTAGGTCAACTCAGAACAGCAATGCTATCTGGGTGATTGTTGATAGATTGACAAAGTGTGCACACTTTCTTTCCATCAACAAGAAGTGGTCCTTGGAGAGGCTTACATAGATGTATATTAGGGAGATAGTACGGTTGCATGGTGTGCCTTCTAGTATTAACTTTGATAGGGATCCGAGGTTCACTTCTAGATTTTGGGAGAATTTACATCAAGCTCTAGGAACACGGTTGAGGTTGATTTTCGCCTATCACCCACAGACGGATGGACAATCAGAGTGGATAATTCAATCTTTGGAAGACTTGTTGAGATCTTGCATTCTAGATCATCTAGGTAGTTGGGAAGAAGTGTTGCCTCTAGTGGAGTTTACCTACAACAATAGTTATCATGCAAGTATCGGTATAGCGCCTTTTGAGGCTCTATATGGCAAGAGGTGTAGGACTCCATTTTGTTGGTACCAAGAGGGTGAGTTAGTGGTGGTAGGGCCAGAGTTGATTCTACAGATTACTGAGAAGGTGAAACAGATTCAAGAAAGGATGAGGACTGCCTAGAGTAGGCAAAAGTCTTATGTAGACAAGAGGAGGAGGCCTCTTGAATTTGAGGAGGGAGAACATGTATTTCTGAAGGTAACACCCACTACTGGAGTGGGAAGGGTTGTAAGGGCCAAGAAACTAACCCCTAAGCTTATTGGCCTTTACAAAATCCTTCGTCGTGCAGGTCCTGTGGCGTATCAGTTGGCTTTGCCACCTTTCCTTTCCAATCTACACGATGTGTTTCATGTCTCCTAGTTGAGGAAGTATGTTCATGACCCAAGTCATGTTGTTGAAATGGATGAAGTTCAAGTTAGAGAGAACCTAACATACGAGAAGAAACCTGTAATTGTGATTGATCACAAGTTGAAAGAGTTGAGAGGCAAGTCTATTGGCTTAGTGAAGGTTTTATGGGATACAGTTACTGGTGAAGCTACTTGGGAGTTTGAGGAGCAGTGTAGAAAGTAATATCCATTCCTATTTCTAAGTAAGTCTATTTTCGGGGACGAAAATTCTTGTTGTTGGGGAGGTTGTGAGACCCAAATCCTTCTACTATTTCTTTCTTTTCCCATTTTCTTCTTTTCTTCCTTCATGCACTTACCTTCACTCGTTGGGCTGGAAAACCATTTCACTCTTGATGTTTCTTTGTTGCTAAACTCATCCTGTCATTTTGATTCACCAAGGTATTGAGCAATAAGGAAAGTTAAGGACTTTGAGCACTAGAGTCGCACGGAATCTCCTTCTCCATTCTTCTCCTCCGTTTTTCTCTTATTCTTCCTCCTAGAGCTTGGGATTAAGGTAAGGGAAGCTAGAATCTTGAGTTGTTGTTTGAATTGAAACATAATACTAACTAAATTCTTGGAAAATTTGAGTTTTGGGGGTGGATTTAAGGTTGGTTGCATGTTGAAAGCTAGCACCTTGTGGTTGTTCTTGATGCATGCATGTGATTCTTGATGTTTTTGGGTTGCATGTGGTTGGTAGTGTTGCATTTGAGTTGTAGCATGGATTGGGTCTCCTTGGATTACAAGTTCATGGAGGATTTGAGTGAAAACAAAGGTGAAATCCATGGAGTTTTAGAAATTCTAAGATCCACAACCATAGCCGTGGATTCACATCTATAGCCGTGGAGGAAAATGAACTTGTAGAAACCCACAGCTGTAGCCGTGGAGGAAAAAATGAACTTGTACAACCCATAGCCATAGCCGTGGATTCACAGCCATAGCCGTGGGAGGGAAAAACGTGATGGCAAAGACTTGCAACCATGGCTGTGGTTTTTTAGCCATGGCTTTGGGGGGGGGGGGAATTGGAGTGGCAGAAACTTGCAGCCATGGTCGTGGATTCACAGCCAAAGCTGTGGAAAGGAAACTTAGCTGGCAGAAATCCAAAGCTAAAGTGCTGAATTTAGCGCTACATCGGTGAGTGTAGATGACCTAATTTGGTCTTGATACCTTCATAAAAGTTGTAGCCTTGTATGTTAGCTTTCAAATGGCGCTAGAATCACCCAAAAAGGAGGTCTAGAGCTTCAGTTATGACCTTTTTAGTGAGAAATGGTCAAGTTGTCAATATTTAGGAGAACGGTTACGATTTTTACAATTTTTAACAAGGTAGATGATGGAATTAGGATTGGGTTTCTTCATGATAGTTGTAGGAAATCTTCTTATATTTCATATGAGATAAGTATGAGAATGATTTAATTAGTTTAACTTACTATGGGTTGTTTTAGGTGAAGGTTGTCAGTGTAAAAATATGTGATTTTGATAAATTGCATGTGATACATGTTGTAAGATGGGTAAAATTGGTGAACATGAATAGAATGCTTGTGTCTATTGCCTGTTGTGTGTTATAGGATGATGATGGTGAGCATTGATATGCTTTATATGATTGATATGCTATTATTGTATGAATTGTGAAGCATTGGTATGCTGTTCTTGGTTGAGATGTTAAGCATTGGTATGTTTTACATGATCGATATGGTTGATCTCTATATGCATTGACCGGATGTAATGTATATAGTAGATGTATGGTAAGGTTTGGGTGCTAAGAATGTTGTGTAGCATTATAGAATGATGGCTAACTTTGGATTTGAGGAGAGAAAATTATTTTGAAAACTGAAGATCCC